CTAGTCGTGTCCTCTTTTGGAAGACCAAACAAAGTAGTTTCGCTTTCACAACGAAACAGCGTCACACACGGGCTAGAGTGAGCGTCACACAGCGTCACAGTGTCACACATCTCTGTACTCCTCCTCTAGCAACACCAGAACATTTTGGATGCTGTTAGATCCGAAATTATTGAATTGGTTTCATGAGACCAGAGTATGGATTCCCAGAAGTCTGTATTTTGTAAATATGGGTCTTGGATAAAGCCAAGTGAGTTTATTGTGCTTTGGCTACAGTCGGTAGTTCTGGTGTATATTTTCACACTTAAAACAATAATTTGGTATTCCTCTTGTACCATTGTCCTCTTTTATGCTAAGAAATAAATTTATGCTAAGAAATAAATCTCCTGACAGTTATCTCTCAAGTGGTTTCATTGTTGTCAGCATTAAGTCACATATAACACTTAATTTTCAAGAAATTACTTACCTTTAACAGTTTTGGTTCAACAATAAAGAAAAAACATCACCAGCTGCAAAATTCAAATCTGCGTTCGCTGGCTGGCACAGAGCCAGAGACACACACGTTTTTAAAGCACTGCGCATTATTACCTATCCCATACGATTATGTTGAGCATTTGAATGCAAGGACCAATCAGAGGCGTTCAGATGAGTCATCGCTGAAACGCCGCTGTTTCGTCACCGCGCGTGCTGGCTGACTGAATTTTCTGGCTAATTCTCTCATCAGAAACAACAAAGTGAAGATGTACGAATGTAAGTAAGATATTAATTTCACAGTGTAAACAGCTTTAGAGATTATTATGGAAGTTTTTGAGAGTGCTTGAACTAGCTGGACTGAAGTGAAAATTTACTTTGATAATGTAAACGTTCTTTGCTCTCTGTTTGTACAATGAAAGTGTTATAGGCTAATTAGTAACTTGCAATGTTTTTTATTAAATTCACATTAAATACAAAGTCAGTCGTATTAAAGATATTTTATGGTATGACACCCATATCTGTTACTTAAGTAAAAAGACGGATTTTTATGCAAAGTTAATAGATTACACTATTAGGCTACTTTGCCCATCGCCCATTATAGAGCAACTAACATAATCTATAAAGGTGCAAAATGCATTTACTTACACATATTTGAGAATCGAGATATTTCATGATATATTTTGGGAATATTTCAAATAAATATAAAAAAAAAAGTATAAACCCCTGCTGAAAAAAACAATGGACACCATTATAAAATTTGTAATGGTTTTACTGGTTATAATGGGACTTGTATTGGTTTTACTGGAAACTGTAATGGACCCTGTTGGTCTCTTAATTGGTTGCCTTCTATTGGTGGCTTGTTAAAACCACTAAATCCCAATGGAGTATGTCCCAAAACACAGTACAGAAAACCATTTTTTAATGGTTTTAATGGTTAAAAGTTGATGGTTTGTAATGTTTGTAATGTTATGGAAACCATAAAAATTTTCTGTGATGGATTTATTGTTTTGTTTTTTTCAGCAGGGACATAAGCCTATATCAGTCATACAGTCTGCTGTGTGTGTCACATGACAAGCATGAGAGCCTTTAAGG